CTATTTAAATAGTAGAGCTCGCTTGAAATATGTACATGAAGATGTATGGAGGTGCGCACACTACACCAACTTAATCGCCCCGACCAATTAGTTGTGGTGCAATGGAAAGACTAGCAAGCCCAACTAAATCGGATGGATCTAAAACATTTTAAACAAGAAATATTGCAGTCACATTTTCGTTTTTAGGATTTTTATTCATGTGATTACCAGTGGCAAGAATGTATGTATTAAATACGTATCTTCTATATATATAAAAATGGTGTGAAAAATGTATAGTCACTCATCAATTGAGAACGGTTGGGCCGATTTGGCTAAATTTTTTTTTTTAGTTGTTCGTTATTGCCAGGAGACGGTTTTTACGGAAGAAAATTTTGGGGAAACCTTCGGGGAAAGTCGGGAAATTGGAAAAATCGACAATTGAATTTTTTGTATGGAATTTTTTGTACAATTCCTTCGGAATGGCTTTCGAATAGAAAAATAGAAAATTCTAAGTGGAAAACTCGGATAAATCCGGAAGAACGCGAAAAATTTGAATTTTTTCGACGAAATTGTGCATTTTCGCAAGATTTGATGATTTTGGACGATGTAAAGGTGGAAAATTTCTGATAATTGTGGAATTTATTGTGAGCATGAATCAATTGGGAACAATTTTCTCCTATGTTTCATAAGCGATACGAATGGTTGCTGCTTTTTTGGAAAGGTGTTTAGAAGGAGGAGTGTACAAAGTTTTAATTTTTCGGATAGGTGGCGCAGGGGTCGATCTACGCTAAAAAAATGCATTTGGTACATAGGTAGCCTTTTGCCTAGATTAGCATATAGGATCCATTTTTTCCGTTAAGTTGGCCAGGGACCGATCTATTCGAAAAAGTCTTATTTATAGTCCGATTTGCTTGAAATATGGCACGTAGGTAGCTTTTTGTCTGGGTTAACATATAGGATACTTTTTTTTTCTGATAGGTGGAGCAGGGACCGATCTGTTGCAAAAAATCTTATTTATGGTCCGATTTGATGAAATTCGATACCCGTATTATAGATATGCGTAGAATAGAATTGAGTCATTGTTTTACAGTTCGAAAAGTGTTTGTGCGTATTGGCTATTTAACAATACTTATTACACAGGCCAACAAAAATAGCAAAAAAATTTTATGCAGCAAATGTTAGCGCTATTTCTGACGTACGCATAAAATTTCCATCAGCTCCAGATTTTAAGAAAAACGAGGTCAAAGTGTCAAAAAATCGCCATTTTTGCAATATTTGAGAAACTCTAGGAAAGAAACAAAGGGTGGTAGAACCTCCCACTTAGGCTTAGATTAAAGCAAAAAATCTCGACTACTATCCCTGCAAATTCCTGCACATTTGCTTGATGGTCACTTATAGCCATTGGTTGGACAGGAATAACTGATTTTGGAAAGTTTGAGTACCTACCGCAATTAAGCAAAAGGTGTTAGAACCTCCCACTTAGGCTTGAATTAAGGCTTGGACTTCTGACTCCAATCCCTGAAAATACTATTCCTGCACCTTGACCCTAAGGTCACCTATAGTTATTTGTTGAACAGCTAACAGTCATTTTTACACTTTTTTTTTCAATTGCATAATTTTCATAACCCTTAATAAGTAGAACTCTCCTTTCTGTGTTGTAGGAAAAGAACGGCGGAAGTATATTTGCTCAGAACTTCTCTTTGCGTAGGCGGCCTTCGGCCGCGCTTAGGGATTATAACCCTTACTAAGTAGAACTCTCCTTTCTGCGTTATAGGAAAAGAAGGGCGGAAGTATTTTTGGCTTTTTAGAACTTCTCTCTGCGTAAAAGGAAATGAGTATAGGTGCCATCACGGCAAGGTGCAGGAATAGTATTTTCAGGGATAGTGGTGTAGTTCTAGCTTTAACTCAAGCCTAAGTGGCAGGTTCTATCACCTTTTGTTTCCTTGCTAGAGCTTCTCAAATATTGCAAAAACACGATTTTTTGACACTTTCACCACGTTTTCTCAAAATCTTGAGATGATGGAAACTTTGTACTTACGGATTCGTAATCAGCACAAAAAAGTCTATTAAAAACAGTTTTAACATTTGCCGCATCAAAATCGGTGTTGCCCTGTGTTACCGACACTAATTATATAATGAGAATCTCCCTCTTTTTATAAGAGGTGATCTCGAGAACGGCTTTACCAAAATTTGGACACCTTCTGCAGACTTTCGATATATTAAGGGAGAGTGGCATCACCCATACATATCGAAATTTGTATTGCGTATATCTCTGGAAATATATGTAGTAGTGTCCCGGAAATTGGTATAGAGATTTTGGTGCTACTGGAAAGGGGGGCGTGGCGCTTTCCAAACATATTGAAACTTTTATCTATCTGTAAACATATGTGTACACCCAGAATACAGTGTTTTTTTCTTTTTCATAATACATTTTTTTGTTAATTTTTTATAAAATATAGTTCATTTTGCACCAAATGGCACCAAATTCGCAGTTTTGTAGTTTACTCAATTTCAATATAAAGTGCAAGTTTTAAATGGCTATAAGTTACCGCTGATTTTTCAGATTTTTTTTTTCTGATGATGTTGCGCATTTTCTCCGTATAACGAATGCGTGATAGTTTTTTTGTATGGGCGAAAATGCCGAAAAGTGTCAGTATGTAAAATACTTATTCTGGTGGGTGGACTCCCCCTAAACGACCGAAACAGTTTTAATGGCATTTTTTTGTGTTTGAGTAGGTCCCTGTATAGTTTAAGTTCACTAATTAAAGCGCCAGGTGGCGCTGGAGTCGAGTTATTACTCAAAAT